GGGTCCAATGTTGCCCCTGCTTTTCCTCCGGCTCCCCACATATCTGAAAAAGGACTTTTTATTGTCCTTGATGCTCAAAGCTAGTTGGAGTTCAGTTGCAGCCTTGGCTTTCCTGGTATGCTCCCTATTATTTTTATAATAAAGCAGGATTTTCAGCAGCAACTTATGTCCTCATTGTTCCTTTGGGGAAGGGTGGATTGGAATTAAAATGTTAATAAAAACTGTTACTTGCTGGTGAATAAAGAAGATAAATATCATATAGCCTTCTTTAGTCCTTTTTGTTTGCTAATGTTTAAAAACAGATTTCTTCCCAAATGCACCGAGAGTGAACAAATAGAACATCATTGCCCGGCAGAAGGTCAGCAGTGGTTTTAGGCCATTCAGAGCAAGAAACTTCTATTGATTTTCCATCAATAGAAATGTAACTCCTAGATTCCTCTGCATATATTCCTTTCCACACTCTTGCCACCTGGGTGTTGACTGATTTTTTTATTGTAAGTTCTACTTTTGCTACAGAGTCAGAGAGCGAGGAGAAGACGCAATCTGGGGTTGATAGAAAATAGATTTGGATATCTTCAATATCTTAATAGCGTGTCCTGCTCAAAACACTTCACAACCTTAGCTCCCCTCCATCCTCTCCACATACATAATAAAACTGTAAGAGTTGCATAGTCACATTTTTAGGACTCTTGAAGAAGATAAGCCATAGACAGCACAGAGAGGCCTTCTAGAAAGTAAAGCATGTACCTGTGGAAAAGTCAGTTCTATTCTATACTGCCGAGTCCCACACATGCATTAAAACATATCATATTCAGTATATCAGGGACTGATGACAGGTCATGGGCAGCTGAGCTCCATGCTTCTCCAGAAGGAGGCCATGAACTAGAGAGATCTGTACAAGGCTTATATCCTCTCTCACCATAAAGCCAGACCACTTAGAAGCCCAGAAATAGTAGAATAGTCATCATCAACAGTGATGGCAATCTCTCGATTCAAGGATGATCTCTACCACGGCTCATTAGTCAGTCTTGAGGTGACATAAGAGTCCAATCCTTGATCCACATTATTCGCTTCCACCTTCCCAACAAAACTTTCCAAAAATGCAGAGCTTAACAAAGGTGACTTTTTCAGCTGGAGCTAAATTGCCATTTGTTTCAGGGTATTAGGTAAGTGCTCTCCCATGGGGCCTGCTATTATTTCCGATCAGTAACAGCTATGAATTCACGTTAGCTGTAATGAATAGCAGTTTTGCAAGTGGCTGAGGCGAACTTATCCTGGGGGCTGTGAATCTAGGGTGAAAATGTGGGCCCCTTTTGAAGAAGTCTGGGATGTGCTATATTTATCTCACAGCCAGTCTAAGACCATTGGGAATCATTTGTGCTGAAAGATGGCCTGTTCCAGTCATTGTGCTAAGGCAGAAATTATGGTTTTCTTGGCATTATAATAAAGTAGCATTTTATCACTTTGTGTTTTTGTTTAGGACATTTTTATGCCTTGGGGACTAATAATGAGTGGGGGTCATATCTTTAGTCTCTAAAACACAACTCCTTTAAGTTCCTTAAGGCAGGGACTGTTTCTGCCCCTTGTTTCTTGTCTTTTTGTCACAGTACCTAAGGGAAGAGATGGAGGGGAGGCATCTTGGTACCACTACAATAAAAATAATAAACAGTTACTGGCTTTAATTCAATCTACCCCAGGGAAAAACAGTGACTTTTAGGGCTGTGCGTATCTGGAGTCCTAAATGCAATGGGGCTTTTAAACATTCACTTTGATTCTCTTCCCTTTTTTTGGCAGTGATTAGAAGTAATATCCAGTCAAAGATGCTAAATACACTGAAGGCCTCCACTGACCTTTGGAGTCCTGAAAAGCGAAAAGGCAA